TGCACCGGTAGGCGAGGACACAAGCAGAGTTCGTTCGTTCTTTCCACAGCCAAACAGCTGTGAGATGTGTTTGGACTGAAATAGGGTGAGAAAAGTGTTCGAGGTGGACAAAGCGTGGCAGAGCAGCACAGACCAAAACTGAGCCCGAGACGTACCGCCCGGGACAACTGTCAGAGCCACACGTGCGTGTGGAGTGCAGCTACAGTAAACCATCAAGAAAGACCAAGTGGGTCAATCTGACAGTGGCAGGATGGTGGGTGAATCATGAAAGGGAGGAAATTTTGAAGTTTGTCTGCAAGAACAGAGTAAGAGAACCTGCTCCAGCTCGCACCGGGTAGCTCTGAGATACCGTCCCTGCCGCGGTGGGGGGAAGTGCGACCAGAGGTTGGGCAGTTTGCTCAGGGACGTGGGCTGGCTTATGGAGCCCGGATCTGAATGCGCGTGTCCCACCTCCAGGTGCGCCTTTTCCTTCCTCAGCTCAGTTCCCACCCTGGAGTTGGGGACGTGGACTCCGGCACTGTTCATTTGGGGTCACCTGCTCTGGTCCTGGCCCAGCCCCCCTCTGTGGGCGAGTGCTTCAAGACGCAGGGAGGAGCCACTCGGGGAGCTTTGGGAGGTCGATCCCTACCGAAAGTATTTGCAGTTCGTTTCCTTCTAAGATACACAGTGCTTGCCACCGGCTCTTCACCCCGTCCCTGGCAAATGGAAAGGAAACTCGGTCTCCGTCATAATGGCTCCTGTGTTGCTGGTTTAGATGAAGTTTCCTTTTCATGCTCCCAGATGGAGGAGCATTGCATTAAAATCCCACACACGCTGGGGTTTGGTTTTGTTTTACGAATACAGAGTAGGGGTGCCTGGCTGGCTTAGCTGGCAGAGCGTGTGACTCCTGTTCTTGGGGTCATGACTTCGAGCCCCATGTTGGGTGTAGACATTACTTAAAATCTTCTAAAGAAGAAAGAAAGGGGGTGCCTGGGTGGCTCAGTGGGTTAAAGCCTCTGCCTTCTGCTCAGGTCATGATCCCAGGGTCCTGCAGCTGAACCCCGCATCAGGCTCTCTGCTCAGCAGGGAGCCTGCTTCCGCCTCTGCCTACTTGTGATCTCTGTCAAGTAAATAAATAAAATCTTTAAAAAAAAAATAAAGAAGGAAAGGATACAGAGTAAAAATGTGCATGCATGTGGACAAAGTCTGGAAGGCAAGAGAAACATCAGTCACGTTGTAGAGTTGTTTGTTTTCTTTTTACTTTATTTCATGTGTTCTCCATCCCCGCCCCCAATAGGTTCTTTTTATCTGGAGACCTTAGTGGAATTATCCAGATTCAGGACAGCAACATGCCATAAAAGCTATGGAATGGAACCCACAAAACCACTTAGAGATGCAGAAGCTGGGTAGTTGGCAGGACAAAGCCCTGATCCGTGGCAGTGTCTCAGCTGTCTGCCAAATCCAGGAGTCAACTTCTGTGTCTTTTCATAATCACATGTCCTGTAATCAGGAGGAAGCAACCCCAAATTGAGGGACATTCTATAAAACAACTGGCCTGTCTTCTTCAAAAATGTCAGAGTTAGGAAAGAACAAGTCGGAGGAAACTTTCTAGACAAAAGGGGAAGACCAAGACATGACAGCTCGGTGCACTGGGGTCCTGAATTGGATTTTAGACCAGGAAAGTAAATGTAATAAAGGGCACTATTGGGGCACCTGGGTGACTCAGTGAATTAAGCCTCTGCCTTCGGGTCAGGTCATGATCTTGGGGCCTGGGATCAAGCCCCTCATCGGGCTCTCTTCTGTTGGGGAGCCTGCTTCCCCCTCTCTCTCTCCCTGCCTCTCTGCCTACTTGTGATATCTCTCTCTCTCTCTGTCAAGTGAATAAATAAAATCTTTAAAAAAAATAATAAAGGGCATTATTGAGATAGCTGGCTAAATTTGAGTAAAGATGATCAGTATATTAAGTATTATATCAGTGTTAAATTTATGAAGTTTGATAAATGTCCCATGTTTTTGTACAAGGTTGTTCTTCGAAGACGCATGGTCAGGGGCGCCTGGGTGGTTCAGTGGGTTAAGCCTCTGCCTTCAGCTCAGGTCATGATCTCAGGTTCTTGGGATCGAGCCCCACATCAGGCTCTGTGCTCAGCGAGGGGCCTGCTTCCTCCTCTCACTCTGCCTGCCTCTCTGCCTACTTGTGATCTCTCTGTCAAATAAATTAAAAAACAAACAAACAAAAAGAATTAAAAAAAAGATTCATGGTCAAATACTTGGGAGGAAAGGCTCATGTGTCTGAACTTAATCTCACAGGTTCTACAGAAACGTGTGTGTGTGTGTGTGTGTGTCTGTGTACAGTTGCAAGTAATCCCTAATTCCTTGTAGTCGGGTAGGATGAAATAGGTATGTGCTAGTTAGAGGTGGTTTGCTGGACATGCATGTAGAGAGAGCTCCGGAGGCTGACAGGAAGGACTAGTCTGTTCTGCAGGGATGGCCCGGAGAAAGTCTTAGTAGTCACTGCACTTAATCTGAGTGAGAGATAGGGGTGTGGCTTTGTAGACAAGAGAGAACATCAGAAGGATTTCTGTTGCATGTGACAGCTCCCTGTTGGGGCCGGAGGGTAGGGTGCATCAGAAGATGCCAGGGGAAAGGAGGGCTGAGAAGTGGTCAGGAGCCACATCCTCACGGCCTCATATGCCTTATGAAGGAGTTTGAACTTTGGGTGACGTAAAACTTCGTCTAGAATGGGTTAAATGACAGGAAATGGATTTTCTCCTCTAGTGAGAAATCTGAAGGTGGGCGCTCCGGCGTTGGAGTTTGCGCTGCAGTCACCGCAGTGTGTGCGGGACGCCTCCTCTCCTGTGTGCGGGTGGCTGCACACCATGAAGTGTGCTGAAGGGAAGGGAGACTTCTTCCCCAGCATCCCTTACCAGTAGAAGGAAGACCTCCTCCACATGTCGTGGCCAACTTGCCGTTGACTCCCTTAGCTGGGATTGTGTCACCCGCAAGGAGAAGCTGCTCACAGCGGGTGGCTTCCCCAGTCACTCCTGCTCCTACGGCTGGGAAGGTGTGGCTGTTCCTTAGCGGAACCCCAGAGTAGCTGCCCGAGTGGGTTGTGGGGGAGGCGGTCTTAGGGTCTGACCCCGCGGAGCAGACAGTTGTTTTCTCAGAGTGGGCGGGGGGGCTGTGTTTGCAACAACAGCAGAAAGCCTCCTGCGCTCGTCACCCCCCACTTCTGCCAGCGCACCTCTTTATTTTGGGGTGTCCTTACCAGCCACTGCCCACGCGCACACACTGCAGTTCTGATCTTACTTGACGTGCCATTTGCATGTTTTTACATCACATACACATTTTCCTACATTTTTACAGTGTTCTTAATTTAGTAGGGGTATAATTTTTTTAAGGTTTTATTTATTTATTTTAAATATAGTGAGTGGGGGCAGGGGCAGAGGGAGAGGTATAGAGTGTCACGCAGATGCCATGCTGAGCATGGGGCTTGATTTCACGATCCTGAGCCAAAGTCCAGAGTTGGATGCCCGACTGACTGAGCCACCCAGGCACCCCAGATGTGTAGTGTTTTCTAGGATTATATGGTAATTTATTAAACCTTCTGTTACTGGATAACAGCTGATACTGACGGTACACTTAACCACCCACAGGCACTGTCGGTTGAAGTGCTTTACATTTATTCATTCATTCAGTCCCCATGAAACCCTGTGAGATGTGGTGGCCATTATCACCGCCCAGTTTCCAGATGGAAGACCCCGAGGCACAGAAGGTCTAGGTGACTTAGAGCTAAGAAGTAGGAGCCAGAGGCAGGGCTGAGGTTCTGAGGCTGACCTGCCTCCGTGTGTTGTTCGCCCTTGTACTGATGTTACACACAATGCTGCTCTGGTGGTGGTCTGCACATCTCGTCCGTCACGCACGCGCGTGAGCCAGGGTGTTGTGGTCTGAAGAGAGTGTGGTCACCGAGGGACTAGAGATGACACACAGGCCACATGTTAGAGAAATGGCACTTTGAGAGGGACCAGGAGGAAGAAGTTGCTGTACTTGTCATTGATTACCAGGAAGGATGATCTCTTCCCTTGACTGTTCTGTCTTCTTTTTGATCCTTACCTTTCTGTCTTTATACTTGGGAGTCCGTGCGCTGCCCATCCTTCTGCATGGCTGATGTCAGCCCCTTTCATGTGAGACAAGTAGTTGTTGAACTATTTTCTTTTAACTATTTTTAGTTTCTTTATACATCTTTGTTTTCTGCAGCTTCAGCATTTGGAGAACTCTCATTTTCTCTTTAGGCTCGGGTGGGGTCTTTTAAATAATTTACCTTTTAAATATGTAATCACTTAAAGTTAGGCTTTACTTAATTCTCCCAAGTTGCTGTTCATTTAACCAGATGCCCAGTTTCTTTTTTGCACACATATATTCTTAAAAAACATTTTAACAAATTCAGTGAAGGTTTAACTCCCCATTGATTTCCTTTAGTTTGTATATGTACAATTCTCCTCAAGCCACACGATTTAATTACTGTTTTAGAATATGTGGTGACATCTAGTGGGGCTAACCCTCCTCTCATCTCTGTTTAACTTTTCCCTCTTCAGAATTTGGAAAATATTCTTCCTTTTTTATTTTCCCAAATGAAGTTTCAAGTCCTTTTGACATTACTGTTAAGACATGCTAGTGTTCTGGGGCTCCTAGGTGGCTCAGTCTGTTAAGCGGCTGCCTTCCGCTCGGGTCATGATCTCGGGGATCGAGTCCCACCTGGGGCTCCCTGCCCAGCGGAGGGTCTCCTCCTCCTTCCCCTTCTCTCTCTCCCTCTGCAGTTCCACCTGCTTGTGCTCTCTCTCACACATTGTCCCTCTCTCTCAAATAAGTAAGTAACATCTTTTAAAAAAATAAAAACAGTGGAAAAAAAGACACGCTAGTGTTCGGTGTGAAGTGCTCCTTTAGGTTAAGATCATAGTAACGTGACAGTTGGAAAGCCGTTATGGTTGCTTCGTGTCTCATTTCCATTTCTGTTTAATTTCTAGATTTTGGATCATTGTTTGACTTGGAAAATGATCTTCCTGATGAGCTGATCCCCAATGGAGGAGAATTAAGCCTTTTAAACAGCGGGAACCTTGTTCCAGATGCTGCTTCCAAACACAAGCAACTGTCGGAGCTTCTGCGCGGAGGCGGCGGCTCTAGTATGAACCCAGGAATAGGAAATGTCAGCGCCAGCAGCCCCGCGCAGCAAGGCCTGGGCGGCCAGGCGCAAGGGCAGCCGAACAACGCGAACATGGCCAGCTTGGGTGCCATGGGCAAGAGCCCTCTGAACCAGGGAGATTCTGCAGCCCCCAGCCTGCCCAAGCAGGCAGCCAGCACCTCCGGGCCCACTCCCCCTGCTTCCCAAGCACTGAATCCGCAAGCACAAAAGCAAGTGGGGCTGGTGACCAGCAGCCCTGCCACGTCGCAGACGGGACCTGGGATCTGCATGAACGCTAACTTCAACCAGACCCACCCGGGCCTCCTCAATAGTAACTCGGGCCACAGTTTAATGAACCAGGCCCAGCAAGGACAGGCGCAGGTCATGAACGGATCTCTTGGGGCCGCAGGCAGAGGAAGGGGAGCTGGGATGCCGTACCCTGCTCCAGCCATGCAGGGGGCCGCGAGTAGTGTGCTGGCCGAGACGTTAACCCAGGTTTCACCGCAAATGGCCAGTCACGCCGGACTGAACACGGCGCAGGCAGGAGGCATGACCAAGGTAAGTGAGCTTACGCGCTTTGAATACTTGCTGCTAGCGGGGAGGGGGGTGCAGTGGTGAAGTGGGACGGGGCGGCCCGTTCCTGCCCCTCAGATTTGCAAGAGGGAGGTTTGGTGTCTGGAACCCAGAGATAAAGATCCCTGCCCCTGTCTTTAAAGTGGGAGCTCTTCAGGAAGCCCGTAGTACAACAGTCTGCATGGGAGCAGTTGTAGACACAGGGGATGTGTTCGGGCCGATGGCCCGTTCGCAGCCTCCAAGCACGATGGCGGAGGTAGGACCACGTGGCTGAGAGGCAGCTTGGGCTGGGAATCGCTTTCTGTTGCGTGCGGAGTCTGGTGGAGGCTGCTGTCCCTCTCCTTTCTCAGCTGATGGAGTTCTTACTCGCTGTTTCTTTCTCTTCTTATGTTCACCTGGTGAAGTGTCTTTTGCCACAGTCTCCATCTTAACAGCCAAGAAGCTGTGTTCCCAGCTTGTCCCCACACTGCCGGGGTTCACAGCGGGAGTGGCGGCAGAGCCGGGGCAGAGTGGGCCCGCGGGTCACAGAAGGAGGAGGTCCGTGGCTGTGGCTGCAGCTGGGACTTGTTAGAAGCCCCGGGGGCTACTGTACTCAGACCCGGGCGGGGCCGGCACCCTGCGCTCTCGGGAGCCTCCAGGTGGCTACGAGGTGCGAGCAGCTTGAGAGTGCTGCTCTGGGTTTCAGCTGCCAGCCTGCGGCCGGCCTGCAGAGCAGGGACTGAACCTGGAGGACAGGGAGGGCAGGTGCCAAGGTAGATGAGGGACAGCTGGGATGCCGGAGGCTGACAAGGAGGTGGGGTGCAGGCGGGTTCCCAGTGAGGGAGCAGATGCCACGGTGGCTCCGAGACGGGGGGCCCCTCAGTGGCAGCCACCTGTGGCAGGCAGTATTTGCAACAGCAAATTCTAGAACAGTAGAACAGTTTGGACTGTTTCTTGGATTTGATTATTCCATATGAAGGAAAAGGGCAGGAAAGGGTAGCACGGAGTTTCCCCACAAGGCTGTCTCAGGTGCGAGGAGACGCATATGAAGCCCTGGGACTGTCTTCGGTAAGGAGACAATTTCTTTTTTAACTTAAGAAATAAAAATGAAGTACAGTTGACCCTTGGACAACACAGGCTTGAACTATGTGAGTCTACTTACATGTGGGCGGTGGTGGTTTTGTTTTATGCCCTTTTTTGTTGGGGGGGGTAATTTCAGTACTATAAATGTATTCTTTTGATTTTAGTAATGTTTTCTCCATCTTTATTGTAGGAAAACCATATATAGTGCATATACAAAACATGTGATGATCGACTGTTTATGTTGTTGGCCAGGCTTCCGGGCAGTAGTAGGCTATTAGTTATTAAGTTTTAGGAAGTCATAATCTTTATGCCATTTTCCCACTGGGCAGGGGTCAAGGCTTCAAACTCCCACATTGTTCAACAGTCATTTGTTGTTAAAGGGGAAGGAATGTGAACTTCAGCTTCAGTTGTCCCTGGTGTTTGCAGAAGGGTCTGTGTATGCACTTGCCTTCTAGAGGTAGGTTGAGAAGACATTGCTGTGGGTTTAGGGCTCTGGTCAGTCTGATGTTTGCTCTTTCCCGCTGACTCATCATTCCATGCCACCCCCTTACAAAAAAATGTTTTATTTTGGAGAATTTAAATCCTGTGTAAAAGTAGACATAGTAGTTTAATGCAAGTGTTCTCAAACTTTTTGGTCTTTGGATTCCTGAATAATCTTAACTGTTGAGGCCCCAAGATTTCTTTAAAATACGGGTTAGAGCTATCAGTATTTGCTATATTAAATACTGAAACAGAATTTTGAAAACCAAGCTCACATTCCATTAGCTATTAAGCACGGTGATACCACTGGACACAGAGCTTCTGGAAAGTGCCTCTATGTTTCTGTGAGAGAATAAGAATAAAAAAGGCAATAATGTCTTTGTATTTTATGAGAATAGTTTTGACATCATGACCCTCTCCTCTCTAAAAGGTATCTGGGCTCCTTGACCGGACTTGGTGAGCCACTGGTAATGTATATTTCTAAAAGTTAGACAGGATAGACCTAAACCTAGCTCCATTCTCACATGTAAATAAATGAATGATTTCTTCATGTCCTTGAGGTCTGCTAGATAAGTCAGATTTCCAGTGGTCTCCTGTGTCCTAATTTGTTTTTATAGCGCGCCCCCTCCCCAACAATTGGAGTAGCTAGTGGATATAACTCTTAAGAAACTGTTAATTTCTAGGATCCGTACAATTCATTTGTTGAAGAATTTGGTTGTTTTGTTTATTGGTTCTGGCAGGTTTCCTGCAGTCTGGGCTCTGTCGGTGTGTCTCTGCCACTGCGTGCTCCTCTGGGTGCCCGGGGCTTTCATTCCTTTGTACAGAGTGATCTCTCTTTCAGACAACACTTTGCGAGTGTTCACTGTGTGGAACGGAAGCCAAGTTAGTGTTTTGGGGACAGTCATCTCTGTTCCCTGTAGGTATCCCAAAGAGGCTGGTGGCAAAGGAAACACAGGGACTGGTGTTTTTTGGAAGGGTTGTCATGGCTTTTCAGGGGGACAAAAGAACTAATAGTGATGGGGAAATGGTTAAGAGCAAGAGACAAGCTCGTTTTAAGTCGAAGATTTTAAAATGCACAGGAGGAAGAAGAAACTTTTTAAAAGATAATTTTGTTTAAAAAATTATCATCATAGGGCACCTGGGTGGCTTAGTTGTTGAACGTCTTCCTTTGGCTTGGGTCATAGTCCAGGGTCCTAGAACGGAGTCCTACATCTGGCTCCCTGCTCACTGGGGAGTCTGGTTCTCCTCCTCTTTCTCTCTGTCAAATAAATAAAATAAAATCTTTTTAAAAAAATTATCACAAATGAAATGCAGATTTCCTATAAAATAATTCAAACAATCGAAAAGAGTCATCTCATTCTTTACAGGTGACCACTTTTTTTTCTTGTTTGTGTTTTGTTTTTGTTTTGTTTTATTAAGTAGCCTCCTTGCCCATTGTGGAGGCCACTGGAGGCTTGAACTCAGGACCCTGAGAGCAAGACCTGACTGACCAAGAGTCAGATGCTTAACTGACTGAGCTGCCCCGGCGCCCCCAGATACATATGAATAAGAAATGGAACCAAGCTACATAAGCACCTGGTTATTTTATGTAACAGTACATACCCTACTTGCCTTTCCTTATCAGCACACACAGATTTCCCTTGTTTTCCTACTGATAGCAAAGTATTTCATTATAGGATGTACCATAATTTATTGCTCTACTCCTCTGATGATGAACATTTGGATTGTTTTTGATTTTTCATTAGTACAGCTGCAATAAATGTATCTTTTTGTGGGGGCATCATAGGATAGATTCCGAAAAGTGAGGTTATTGGGTCAAAGGTTTTTTAAAAGTTTTGTTTCTAGAAAGTAATCCTGTACATGGTTTAACAACAAACCACAAAAAAAAAAAAAAAGAAAGAATAAAGAAAAAGGCACTAAGAGAGCTGAAAAGTTAATCTCCCTTAACCTCTTGACCTTTGGCTCTCCCAAATTATCTCACCAAAGGCGACTATTTCTTATCTATCCTGTAGGGGATGATCTGTGCATACAGAGGCCTAGCGAGGTGGGCGTGTGTGTGTGTGTGTGTCCTAAACATAAAGAGTGGTGTATAATCTCTCGCTCCGGCCCTCCCGTTATGTGTGTATGTACACACACAGGCCTCCTTCCTGCCACTTTAATATAAGTCGGAAGTTCTGTGTTAGATTGAGCTCAGTCCTTCTTACTGGGTATGGTATGGTAGTGGTCCCTGATTTGGGTATATCTTTATTTATATGACAAGTGCCCTGATGGCTGTACATTTAGGTAGTTTCCAATGTTTTGCTGATACAACAGTTTTGATAAACATCTTTGTACAGCTGAGTGTCACTAGGTAAATTCTTGGTAGTGGGGCAACCCTCTTGGGACCCCTCTGACTCTGGAGGGCTTTTTACATGCCCCTGCTTAATAAAACTCTTATCACTTAACCAAAAAAGAAAAAAAAATCTTGGTAGTGAGACTTCTGGATTAAAGGATATTGACATTTTTTTAAAAATTAAAAAAAAAAGAATATTGACATTTTTGGTAAGCGTAGCTATTGTCAAATACTCCATAAACATTGTGCAGATTAGACTCTTACCAAAAGCCAGTGAGTCCCTGTCCCACCCCACCCCCCCCTTTAACTCCCATCCCCCGATTCTTACCAACACTGATCGCATCCTTTTGCTGATTTGCCATTCTCTTAGGCAAAAATGTCTCTTCATGAATTCATGGGCATTTATATTGTACTATTCATGTCCTCTTTCTTTGCGTTTCCTTTTTTTCTTGTTGGCTTGAATTCTTAATATTTGTGTATTCAAAGTTAAGACCTTTTAATAAATGTAAGCTTTTCCCCCTCTTTTGTATTTGCTGAAGTCTGGTTTACCAGGCATATAGCTACTAGGGTTTACAAATTCGATATTTCTGTGTTTTTACCAAATGGAAGTTTTCAGTTTTTACAGAAACAGATTTATCCATTTTATCTTTTGCGGCTTTTGGGTTTTACGTTATGTTTTGGAATGCTTTCTCTATTCCAAAATTATGAAATATTCTGTATTTTTTCCCCTTTTATCTTGGGTATTTAGCTCAGAATTGATTTTGGCCCGAGTGAGATAGAGATCTAGCTGTTTGTTTTTTTCCAAATTGTAGTCGTCATCCCAGTGCCATTTATTTAGATAGTGCTGATCCAGCTTTCCCCCCACTAATGTGACGTACCATTTCTGTTATGTTTTACTCCGTTTCAAATATACATGGTTTAGGTCTAATTCTGGACTATTCGTTGGTTTGTTTGTTTCATTGATCCTTGCGCATCCTGTGCCAGAAATGTAATGAACTTCAGCACGTGAGGTAGGTCGTTGCTCATCATTCCCTTTAAAGAATCCAGTGCTTTCATGGCCACCATTACAAGAAGACAGTCTTCGAGGTGTGTCATTCTCAACCCTATCTGC